AAATAACCCCATGTTCCGCCGGCGCCTGAACATAATTTCGGCGCTGACGCGTCCATTGTCCCAATTGTATATTTCCGGGCCTTACAGTGATCATGAGTGCTGCACGTAGTGCACAGTCGAGAGGTTCATCGTTCTTTACGCGTGCGTCGCGGCCTTGGCAGCCGCGTGGAGTATACCGAAGTCGGGAGACTCTCCGTGTCTCGTGTCGCGAGCGCCGATCATGCGCGGCGTGTCGTTGGATCCGAACTCGGGACTCGGGAGGGTCGTATTGTCGCTGCCATACAGTACGTTCATTCTCCGGCTGACCGACAAGTCCCAGGTCCTCCTAATAAAAACACCGGCCCCGTGGAAGAAGAAACTAATTCAAGTTCAATGCGTGGTTGAGTCCTTGCGCATGCCAATACATTGTTCTTGCCCAAGTCAGGAATTGAACGACCTCAGTCTGTGTCGCCGAAAATATCATCGGTGTCCGAGCTCGGGAGGTTGAGCCGCTTACACATTCGCCCGACACCCCTTGTCCGAGTCGCGCGCGGAATATTAGGGAGTGCTCACGCGGGGTCCGAGCGTTGAGTATTAGTGCCGGCACGCTTGCCTTCATTTGCGAAAGTTGCGAGTAGACACCTTGACCACGAGTTCAAAAGGTTGACCATGGGTGGGTGCCGACGCCGATATTCATTTGACAACTGTTCGATTCAGAATTCAGTCGTAGTGTTGCGCCTTGTCGTACTTCGTGAAAGGGCAGCCTTGTGCTGTGGGTGCAGTCAACCGAACTTCGAAGGTCGGGCAGTTCACGTTTTGTGCTGACGCGCCTAATCGGCCCTCGGGGTACGCAGATAAGACTAGAGTCACAAGTAAGAACCTCAGGCGTGCTGTTATCGCGCCACATGAAATCCTCGTTGCGTCCTGCGTTCATTGTCCGAGAAAGGGTTAGCGCGTGTACCTATTGTTGTTGTGAATTTTCTGAGGAGTTAGACGGGCCTATGTCTCCAAGAACGGCCTAGCGCGCCTAGCCTATTATATTGTTGTCTCTAATTGTCGGGCCTCGTCAGAGTCGGGGTGTTTAAGCGTAGGTTGCTCTTCGTGTGACGCGCCTATTGTCCCGCCTCGCGGTCGGGCCGTTGTTCGATTCCTGCGGCGGGAGGTGCGGCTATTGTCTCCCCCCGAGTCCCGACGCGCCTCTGATCCCGACTTGGCGCGATTGTGCAAGGAGACGCTTAGACGACTCGGCTCGCTCATCACTTCGCGATCGTCAAAGAACGGGAGGTTCGCTTTTTGTGCTGCGTGCCTATTGTCGTCTCCGTCCGCCTCACGCCAATTCCAAAGACGGGGCTTCGGCTGAGGCGCGCCTCGTGAAGACCTCGTGATCCTCGTCGGCCGGCGCGCGTTAATATCCGGTCAAAATCCCGGTTTGGGAGGCTCGGGCGCGAGCTCATTTTTCAAGCGTCGAATTCTACCTCGGGCGCCTCGAGATACTAGGACAGCTCAATTGTGCCATGCCTTATCGTCACCTCATGGCGTAAACCAAAGTCGGGAGACTCACCTCAACTGACGCGCCCCATTGACATGTCGCGCAGGGCGGTCGAGCTACGGTGCTATTGTCCGCCCGTCGCTATTATTTCCCGCGAAAGTCCTACTCCCGGCCAGCTCGAATTCATTTTCAGGTCCACGACGCGGCGTGTCGGTTATTGTTGTTTGAACGGGAGACGAACCTCAACCGGGGGATCATACGCAGCGTGTGTCGTATCCAAACTCGGGAGGTCGCTGCCGTACAGTAAGTACGTTCATTCCCCGGTGCATAATCCGATCGACAAGTCCCAGGTGCAACCGCCGGCCCCGTGGAAGAATAAATTTAATTAATTCAAGTTCAACGCGCGCGCCCCCACGAGATCCGCGGCGGCGCTCCCTCCGTTGTCCGCGAACGGGTTAGCGCGTGTGCCTATCAAGTTACCATTGTCGTGAATTTTCTGAGGAGCTAGACGGGCGTATGGCTCCGAGAACGGCCTAGCGGGATGTCTGAGCGTAGGTTGCTTTTTGTGTGGACGCGCGCCTCGGTGTGCGCCGTTGCTCGAGATTGTCTTGCCCTGGTCACACTCCCGATTTGCGAGGGTCCCGTTGTGAAGCGAGGAGACGCCGGGCACGCGCGCGATCGGGAGGTTCGTCTTTTATCCAGAGACGGGAGGGTCGCCTTCCGGCGCGACGATGTTCTCGTCCGCTTCCGCCTCGTGATTTTCCTTGTGTAGTCCAATTCGGAGGAGCTCGATTATGGAGATTGCCTATTGTTGTGCGCCGGGAGGTTCAGCTGACGCGCCCCGTCTGGCGCGCGGTAATGTTCTTTTCATATTCCGCCTCGTGAATGACGGGAACTTCAGGCGCGTATGTCCCAAGGGCGTGAGGAATCGTGCCGCGCAACGTCGTATCGAGAATCCCAGCTTGGGCGGGTGGGGTGTGGTGCTGCCACTGACAGCGAATCGTCGTTGCGGCGCCCCAATTCGGCTTCCTCTCATTTCCGGCCCACGTTGACGCGCCAAAGACGGGCGGTTCAGCCGACGCGCCCAGTCCTCGTGGCCGCGGCCGCCGCAAAATCCAGGGTCGGGCTGCTCCGGATGTCGTTAAATCCCAACTGGGGCGGTTGAGCTGTAGTGTTGTATTGTCGCTGTGACATTGAGAGTACAACAGCGCTATTGTGACTTTATTGTTAACGAGCCAGGTGTTGTTTCCCGGACCTCGCGTGGTCGGGCTGTAGAATGAATGCGGGCAGGGAGTTCATTTCCGGGCTGTGTAGACGCGCAGTCCACAGCAGGCGGACGGACCTCGGGGAGTCGGGCAGCGTGCACGCCGGGCCGCAGTCGGGACACAGAGATGACTCGGAGGCGGGATCCGGCGATACCCGGTGACGGTGACGCGTAGATTAGATCTCCCACGCCCGGCGCGCCTCCCGCCCCGACTCATTCCACGCCCACGCCCACGGTCCTGCGGAGTAGCCACATCGACGGAGATAGCTATCAACATGATCATCCCGTCTATCTTGACCTGATATCACGGAAGCAGATGTAGATGGGACGGCGGCGTTTCAGGTCTGTGTCCAATTAGACTTTCCGGGCTTGGTGGATGTAGAGATGGGGAGGACAGATGGGGGATGATAATCATGGCGTCGACGATGCTGATCCCGTATGTACGCGTATTCGAGACACGTTTGAAACCATTCATGTCCAGGATACGCAGCGTCTTCTACTCGAGGCACGGACAGAGCAAGACACCGCCACGCCAAGATCCGAGAGACCGATCGATCGGTGGCGGTGCAAGATGCCAGATTTAGCCTGTTACATAATACTCCGCCTGACTCACGAGAGTTGGATATGAATAAGGTGGGCACAGGGGCGGTGTCCCTTCTTCCCGTCCCATGTCCGTCTCGCTGTGCCCCCCACCGGTGCCCCTCCACGCGCACACGCTCTCCTCCGCCTCCTACCGCAAGCGCACGACGAGCTTCTCGACGCCGTGCCCGTCCTCGAGCAGTCTAGCCGAGAATGCGTTTGGCGAGAACCGGGGGAATGGTGCAGGGGCGAATCCCCGCCCGAGGAAGCGTCTGCACCGTACGGAGAGCGTCGTCGACTTGTCCTTCACCCCGAATGCGGATGCTACGACATCGACTACGGTGACGACCCCGCAAGGCGTGCCCTACACGCGCACCCTGCGCTTTTACAAGGAGCAGAAGGAGCGCCGACGTGCACTCGTTAGGGCTGCGCTATCCTCTTCTTCCCCTATCTCCACTCCCGAATGGACATCCCCCACACCCCGCGCCGCAGCATGGCAGGGTGCAACGACCCAATCCCTTCCACCGCCTCCGCGCAGACCCACCGCTACTGCGACCCTCCACCTCCCCCCCGCGCGCTCCCCATTAGCCCGCTCGTGCCCCCTCGCCACCGCGCCCCGCTGCGCGTACGTCCACATCCCGCGCGCGGAGCGCCGCACGACGGCGGGGACGGGCGTGCCACCCGGCTCCGGCACCGCGCGCCCTGCCTCCCCATCCACCGCGGCCAAATCCCCCCCGAAATCACCCGCGTCCCTCCCGCGCACGCCCTCCTCCCGCGCCCTCTCCTCCCTCGCAAGCACCCCGCCCGCGCCCAGCAAAAAGAAGACGCCGAGGCAGCCCACGACGCTCCACCGCCGCGCGCTCCTCGCCGCGTTCCGCGCAACGCCGAGCGGCGCGAAGATCCTGCACATGGGCGCGCGCCTCGCGGTCGGCGTGCTCGGCGCGACGGCGGAGCTGGAGCGCATTTGCGCGTACACCTGCTCGGAGGGGGATGCGTCTTGCTCGGAGGAGGTGGACGGCGACGGCGAGGAGTACCTCCCCGCGCTCGAGATGGACTGCATGGACGCGGACATCGCGGACGTCCTCCTCGACGAGGGCGAGGGCGAGCTGGACGCCATGGGGCCGCTGTTTGCCCATCCCGACGCCGACGGCTGGGGGGCTCCGGACCAAGACCAAGACGAGGACGCCGACGCAGAGGACGAGGACGTGCCGATGCCGGACGCGCCCCCCTCGCTGAGCGCGTCGTGGATTGTTGTAGGGGAGGGGGAGGCGTCGCAGGGGTGGGAGATGGTTGGGTAGGCGGGGGTGGCTGCCCAATCCGGCGTGCGCGCACCTCGCGATTGTTGACCCTCCGCTTCGTGTCATGTTATCTATCTCCTCCTCCTCTCTTCTGGGACTCACTCCTCTCGGGCAATTGTCTCATACGCAACGCATTGAATAGGATTGTCACGTTTACTTTTTACTTACTATATTTCTAGCTAGCTACTGTAGGCTTTGTTGTATGAATTCGAATCGAATTCAAAGCTGTACTGTACTTTTTTGAAGCGATTTAGAGGGCGAGGCGCACGATCAAACGCGCTGGGAATGAATTCAACGGTACCCTATCGAAGAAATAAATAAATACGGGGTATGTAGCGTTACGTGGAGGAAAAAGAAAAGGAAAAGAAAAAAGCGACAACACAAAATGCGATGCACCGGCTGGAACTCGAACCCCGAACTCGTCGTGAAACGTGGGAATTCCAAAACTCTAATGACTCTGCCGACGTGCGTTACCGTTACGCCACCGGTGCCCGATTGCTTGGGATGGGATGGGATATACTAGGTGGAGGAGGGCTCGAGTCGGAGGGAAGACTGACACGGAGGTTCGTGGAATGATATCCTTTGGCCGAGAGTTGAAAATTGGAGATAGTAAGTAGAGTGAGGGGCTTGAACAAAGTTGAAAATCTTCTCAAAAACCAAACACGGTCGGGAAAGGTTGAAAATAAATGCCGGGATGGAGGGGCGTCGATGCAAAATATGACGCACCCGACCGCCGAGAGCTTCAAAAACCAACTCATCGTCCACTGCGACTGCCAGGAAATAAAAAAGCTTTGGCTGACTCAACTATAATGCATCGACGGGGATTCGAACCTCGAGTTTGTCATTACCGCATAATAATTGCATATATGATATCAATTGCAAGGTACGCTCACAGTTGACGCTACCGATGCTTGGGTGCCCGCGTGCGAGGGGAGGTAAGTAGAGGATGGTGCAAGTTGGAGAAGAGGATGATGGATGTTATCCGACTTCGTTCGTCGAACAATACCGTTTGGTGGAGAGTTGAAAACGGAGGACAGAGCTTCAAAGAACCGACTCCACGATGGGCCAGAGATTAAAAGAGGCCAAAGGAGAAACCGATCGATTATGCATCGGCGGGGATTCGAACCTGTCGACGTGCGCTCACAGTCTACGCTACCGATGCTTGATTGTGTGTGTATGAGATGGGGTAAGTAGAGGTAGTGATGGTCTGGCTAGCCCTAGCGAATGAATACAACGTGCGTTACCGGTTACGCAACCGATGCTTGCATGAGATTGATCAAATAGAGGTCTAAGGTTGGAATTTATATTCATTCCGTTCCACTACACCCCCAAAGATTTGGCACAGGATGGAAGATATAAATCCCCGTATTCGTGTTGCTCCCCCCGATGTAATTGGAAGAAGTACGGAGGATACATGTAGGCGGGCACAAGTGAATCGATTAAATGCCATAGGAGATCAAGGACGTTCTGTGTTGGAAAACATCGAGGATATCCGAATCGGATGAGAGATGGGATGGAATGCCGGCGGAGGTCCATTCCCAGGACTGGGAAACGAAAGATCGGTGTGGGTTTATGCGGCTGGCAGGAACACACACTCGAATACAGCGCCGGACATGATATATCAATTCAAAGTGAGATAAGATGAACCCCAGATGTGAATGAATGCCGAGTCCGAGCGGTGAGATAGCTTGAACTGATGGGCCATGGTGGATGTCGGAGACTAGTCGTCAAGACTTTCATCGAGTTGAACACCCGGAATAGAGTGGATGGGCGGAACACAATGTGGATGACCGGGAGCAGCGGGACAGAATCAGAGAACGGACCCATGAGTCGGGCGCAAATCAATCTTGACCTGGAGATGGATGAGATGAACGGGCGGTGATGTTTTTGAACACGGAGGTGGGAGCTGGATGATTTCTTGCAGATATATCCTGTTGGATTCCAGATCCTGGCAGCGCAGAGCATTGCAAATGTGATGTCGGTATTTTCCCTTTCCTGGCTCAGCCAAGATGAACGTCAAAAAGGATGAAAGAAAAGAGATAAAATGCCCCACCCCACTGTTGTCCCTCTACAAGAATTATCGGAGCCGGCTTCGCCGACGATGGACGCAGAGGTGGAAAAAATGGTTCCAAAGTTGAAAAAGCCATCGAGAATAACAAACTCGAAGCTCCCCGGGATAGAAAACAGCATCGCGACAGATCCAGCGCACGTTTCAATGCTACGCCACCGATGCATAATACACAAGACGGGTTAGGGTCCCGTTGCGACCTGGAGACTGGGAACCGGAACGACCTAAAAAAATCCCAAGTCCGTGCCGTGGATAAACATATTGGACGGATGACTGGACCATGTTTGATCTTCATGGTACCGCGCTCATCAACCCTCGATGACAACATGCCGGCGCACCCGAGATTAAAGCAGGTAATACTTCCCCAGGGGAGAAATGGAAATCCGGGTTTGATTCAGCATCGAGCGGTCGTCAGGCGGGATGCCAAGTCCTGAACTCCGAGAACGGCGCGTCGCAGATCCATCACTTTCTCCAGCCTGCACCATATCGCCGAGAACGCAGGAGCTGGCAGTAATATGTCACCGTGTTACGGTGGCCGCCACACGGAGAGCGCAGGCGGGGAAGGCGTCGGGCGTGGTTCATACTCGGACTCGTAGTTGGCAGATCCTCCTGGCCGTGATCTTGATGATTTAAATACTTGCTGCCTAGTCATGATGGAAATATAGTAGGATCGGGTTTTCTTGGTTGTCGTTTTCTCCGGATTTGAGGAGGAGCGATGTACCACCGCTACCAACGAGGGTCAAATATTCCAAAGCGGATCGGAGATGCAAGTGCGGACAACCACCGGCTCTTCACGCACATACGCCACCGAATATCTCGGGGGGTTCAACACGGAGTTCGGACGAGATATCGCGTTCCGTGCCGTCGATATCACGGGTATCCCACCCGTTGGTGTTGCACGGGGAAGCGGGCCCGTCCCAGGACTCCCGATCTTTGACGCCGTCTGATTGCCAGCCGACACGCTCTACCGTATAGGTGCATGGGGACTCGGAGTCAAAAAGTGTCAAGCCACACGAAATCAAGATCAACACACCGACGCCGGTAGGGCTTCGACCCGCCCGTCGCGACGGGACGGCCGTCGAAAACGACGGGTGTCGACGGGGACGGGACGGGTCTACCCGTCCCGTCGGCATGGATCTCCAGAGGCCACGACGGACGGGACGGGTCCGTACGACGGGTAACGGCCGTCGCGACGGGTGTCAGTGAGGCATAAAAAATGTAATTATAGGTAAAAAGAACACGTCTTTGAACTTGTATGTTACGTCTCCTTATGCCTTGCGGGCCTCCCGATCGAGACGCAAACGGGCCTTGACAAACATCAACATCTGAATTGTCTCTGCCTTCAAGCTAGCACGCCGGAGACCAATTGTGTCGCGGCCTCCAGAAAATACCCGTTCCACGGCAACAGCAGAACCTAGGATGAATATTAGTGTTACTAGTGCAGAATCCCTAAAGAGCGTACCTGGAATACAGAGCACGTCGCGAACAAGCAAATACAACTTCGGAAATTGTTTGCGCCGAGACCACCACCACAGCAGGGGGTCAACACCCTCAAATGGTTCGGGAACACTGGTGAGCTTGAAGTATAATTCCAGTTCGTTCCCCGAGGTGGGTGCTTTCTGTTGACTGTATCGACTGAAGACCGAGAATTTGACCGGTGATCCGAGCGATGTCTGGCCTGCGGATGTTGTAGTCGGACCCGGGCTGCTGTCAGCCTCGGGATCAGAGTCAGAGTAAAAGATGTCGAAATGGGTCTGTAACGCCGCCTTGGCAGCTTCAAGGTCATCCAGAAGCCCCTGGTCCTCGGCATAATCGTTTCGGAGGCCTTCATACGACAGCCGAGGATCTAATACTTGAAATAATAATCAAAATTGAGCACTAGATGCGAGAGAGAGAAAGTGACAGACGGGTGGCCCACGAATAATAGCGTGACTCATCGAACTTGGTGTAGTAATCACTCAGCTTCAGATGGGCCTGAGTAAGACCCTCGCGAAGGGCATTGTCTGACGTAGTGGGCAAGTTCTTGATGATCTTCTTGAGGTGATCTTGCAGCCAACGAAAGACGGCATGAGTAGTCGATAACATCGGCTGCTTTGTTGTGGACATTTGTGTTGTCGCCTCGCGATAGGCCTCAAGCCAATCACAGACCTGTTTCAGAGCTGCCCACTCGGTAGGAGTGAGTGCATACTGCGTGAGATCGTCATTCTCGGCAACATAGCCCGAAATCGCTTTGCGGTAATCCAATGCACGACCTACAGGTTGATTAGCCATCACACCGAGTAGGGGACGGAACAAACGAACGCAGCATTTGATGAGTGGATGACCAACGGGTTTTCACGTCGAGAATGAGTATAAGCACCTTCTCTGCGCCAGACCCCTTGACCTCTTTCTCCCATTTTTGACGGCGCTGGGGACTAGAGCGGACATGACGAACGATCTTCCGTAGCTGGGAGTCTCGGTAAGTAAATAGATCACGGAATGAATACGGGTTACCTTGAAGACAGCCAGACCAATCATGCTAGCAGGTTTATCCATCTCATCGTCGGGACCATCTTCAGTGTCACCTGCCCCCTCGTCGGCGGCTCGACGAACTGGTTCGGTCGCCGAGTCTTGATAAGCTGCAGAGCGAGACTTGGCCTTTGCCTTCTGGCTTTCCTCCTTCGTCAAGACACCGATTGCCTCGAGAAGCTGCAATACATCAGACATATCCGATCACACCAGATATTTCAATCACCTTGAGAGCTGATAAATGAATGGTGTGAGGCATGCACCGCATCCGGGCGTCTGTGGTCGAGAAGCGGATATTCCGTTCCTTACATATACTTCCAAACTCCTCAACAAGAGTATCGTTGTTTGTTGCATTGTCCATAACGAACGCGGTGATCTAACAGGCCATTCAATCGGATTTCTCAGCAACAGGCCAGAAAACTCACCCTGCCGACCAGCCCAAATTTCTCAACGGTCTCCCAGACCGCTGCTGCCATGTTTTCCCCAGAATGTTGCCCAATGAGCTCACGGAAGTCGATCAGACATTCCTCTGGACGAGATTAGGGATGCTGACAGATGGAAGAAGGACACGAACCTAATTTCCCATCATTCCCGATGTAGTGGATGACAATGGCCATAAATGCGTAGCCATTACTCGAGGTCCAAGCGTCCAGCGACAAGACGAAGTTGGACACATTTTCCTGTCTTTATTGAGCCACCGAACATATAAGCACATCCACACAAATACCTTGAATATCTTCTTCAACCCGTCCACCATCTCCTCGCTCATGTTCACGATTCGGGTTCGCACTGACTCGTCGCTTGGGATTTTGAGCGGTTTCGGAGAATGGTGGTGAACATATTCAAGCATCTCACGAAACTCGTCTGTAATAACAGCTGTGAATGGCTGGTCGCAAGCGGCGACCCACTTTGCGA